CATTCCACTTTGTGAATGTAGTCCTGGATGCATGCATGCTTGATTGCTGGAGGTGAGTTATTGTGACATTGAGTTTGTGTTGTTGGCTCATTAATAACAGGGTACAATTCAGAGCCAGACCTGTTTATCCATTTCAAAACCATGGCAATCTGCAATGAACTCCCAAGTGTTGATTCATTGCATAGTGTGGGTGTAACCCTGCACCTGAAATATAATAGTATCAATAGCTATGAAAATGCACTGCAAGCACATCAACCTAACAAGCCATTGTTGGTGAATCTTGGATCACTGTGGTCCCCCAAGACCCTTATATTTCTGTGACTTTGGCCACATGCCAGAGCAAGCAAGCTGCAAACAAAAAAAGGAACAGTTAGACAAAAAAAAAGCAGAAAAAAAGGGCTGGCCCAGAGAAGAGACTAATCAGCCCTTTGAGGGGGACCGCACACTGGCACAAGCCATACAGTTCATGTCAGACAGCCTTGGAGCTCGTGAATTTGCCTATGCTGTCACTGATGGCAACACTGAATGGGTATACAAGCACTTGAAAGTGATAGTATTCAGTTTTGCAGGTTCCTTGCACACAAAGTACTTCACATATCTTCTTGAGATGATATGCACACTCCAATATGAATGCAGTCCTAAACTATGAGATGCCATCTTGAAAAACTGGCTGGTTAACTTGAAGGGAATGCCTGGATCCTTTTGTGGTGCCGGTGACTTATTGCAAGAGCACTACAACCTCCTCCTTCAAGAATTCTTGGTCCATATTGATATTCTGTGGGATGGTGAGCTCATGTGTAACATCATTTCACAAAATGTTAATGAATTAGCTCAAATGAAGAAGGATATGCTGACAAATTTGGGACTTGCCCACCGCACAAACAAAGAACCTGAGCCTCATAATAACCCCAAAATAGAAACATTACTTCAAACCTACTGTGAAACCGAGCTTCACTTGTTTTGGCAACAAAGAGATTATGGGGATTGTGAAGTATGCAATTTTGAAAGAGGCATAAAAAAGCTAGCACATGGGAGAGTCAAAAAGTGGATTGACAAGACAACCAAGTCTTGTGGCTTGATGGTTGGCATACAGAAAGTACACAATGGTGGAGATAGCAATAGAATGGAGGCTCAAACTGCACCAACAGAAGAGCAGTGGAGTAGCGAGAGTGATGCTGAAAGTGAAATTGAGGAAGAACATGAGTTTTTACAAGACTTGCCTAACCTTGGTAATTGTTTTATTGTTGAAGGAGATTTGATACTAGATTATGCTGATGATGAGGAAGATGAGCACACTGCTGTACTGCAGATAAACAAGTTAGGAAGTGATGGTGAGGATGTAGGGGATGAAGACACTGATATTGATGACAAGGGTAACTAGGGTCCAATGACCATGTTCTCCTGGTTCTGTAGATCAAGATTAGTGTGTGTTATGTTCACTAGTATTAGAATGCTTACATTATTGTGTTTGCACATGTGAGGCTGCTGAGATGACTCAATCATTTGGCTGAGAGTGGCCCCCCGCTTGCATTTGGGTGATGTCAAAGTCTGGAAATCCACAAATGACTGGAGAGGCTTTCAGACAATGTCAGAAATGATAGGGCCTTGCTGAGTATGAGAGTTCTATCTTGCATTGTATACAAGGACATTGTCTCTGGGAAAAGGCCATCAGCTAAGCAAGAATACAGAAAATAGACGGGGTAAGATTGCTAAAGGCGTCTGGGAGAGAACTGAGTAGAGTCCTTATGTCCAAACACCTATGCGTTGTTCAACCCGCAGGGATCAACCAAGGGATTCAGAAGAAAGTGCTGAAGACTACAATAGAGTGGGTCCGCAGGTCAGTTTGCAGAGTCCGCACTTTTGAGTCTAAACAGAGCGGATACATCACAGCAAGTTGTGATCTTGCTGGAAAGGCAATAATACAAGTGTGGGAGTGATAATATGAGCTGAGGATGAATATAGAGTGGAGAATACAACACTGCAATGACTCCTGAGAGTCCACATTTTGGGTCTATATGAACAGAACGTCACAACAAGCTCGGTGCTTTGTTGGAAATTTTGGTTATATGGCTGTGGGACGTCTACAACAATTCTGAAGTGACTATGGCGACTTATTCAGACAAATTCTGAGTATATGGGGGATCAAAAGATAGATTTCCTTCCTTTTGGAAGTACAGTTTTATAGCAGTACCAAAAAGGAAATAGCAAAAATAGTGTAAAACATATGAGAACCAATAGGAGAAACAAAGGATAAACATTAGAAAGTGTCCATATGAAAATGTAAGAAAAAGCGAGTCATATCCTGCTAGTCTGACGTCCAGACTGTTCCATACCACGAGGGACAGCTCCTATATTCCATAAAAGGAAAGGGGTAGTTGATCTGTGGACAGTTGTAATGCTCTGGAGTCCATGTGGAGTCTTGCACGTGCGTGGAGTGCTGAATTAGCTCCTTGTCTGACGGGTCCAAAGTCCAAAAAGTGCGGACCCTATATGTCCGCAAATGCGGACTCTATGTATCCGCAAATGCAGACTCTATGTATCCGCAAACATGGACTCTGCGGACTGTTGCATATTGATGCATGGTTTGTCGTAGAACTGGATTGATATGTTGGGAAATAAAGGGATTACTATGCCAGCGTCTAAGTCAACTCTACAACGGCACAGCTGAGAAATTTACCTTGTTGTACCTGTCTCTATAATAGAGATGTCCTCGCCCTTGAGTTTGTCCACAACCAATGCCTCACATTTCTTGCATTTGTGCTTGGGCCTCTGCATTAATATTGGCTTGGTTGATGTCACATGTACACCAAAGGTCAGATTTTATAGCCTGCATTGTGGTCCACACAAGGCCCAAATAGGGCTTAATGAAGACTTTGGGCTGAGATTAGCAATCATGTTGATTGAGTAGATCAACTCATGGCTGTCCATGAGGAGTTTGATGGTTAAGTTGGGAAGGAACACAAAGGATGGGAGTATGTTTGTACCAGTGTCACCAACAGTATCAAAGATTTCAAGGTGACAGTTTTGAAGGGGTTTGGTGGCATGCTCATGCATGTCCTTGGTAATTGACTTCTTCTTAGGCATGGCCTGGGCATCCTCTTTTTGACACGCAGCTTCAGGGCCTGTGTTAAAAGGAAGAGCACATGATGAAGGGTCCTCCTGACTACAGCCAAAACACTGGCAAAAAGAAGTTATAGCTGGACGTGGATGGCTCATACAGGTGGAACAAGTGCACTGTAAGTCTTTACAAGGATTGTTGTACAGTCAATTTTGTTCCATGGCCTTACATGTACAAGGTGCCAGGATGAGTTTTGCCATGTTTATGTCCATTGTGATGCCGTTGCCACTTCTCTTCTTTCTGATGGCCACATTGCCTCTAGCTTGTTCTGAGTGATATACATAATGCCCCATCTCTCCTTTTGTTGTGTCCTGTCAGGCCTTATCCTGCCAACCTTCTGGTGGAATTCATCAGCATTTTGCACCACTCCCATCATCACAATCAAGGTAAAATTGATAGGGTCATACCCAACACAGAGTCCATTGGTTGTATTGATTATGCGTGTTATGGGGTTTTCATGAAACAGTCTCCGGGTTTCAATATTGTACTTGGGTGAGTTAAGGGAATTGTACATTATGGAGATCCAGACTGGATTGTTCAGGTGCGTTGGCCCATAAATATGTTTGAAGTTGGGAATTGAAGGTATATTGTTGGGCAGAAAATGATGGTTTTGTGGTCAGAGTGGAGGATCCATTGCAGCTGGGAAAAGTTCCAACCCCCAAGTCCATGCTTCAACTCATGTATTAACAGTTGAACATCTAGGCGTAGGTTGGACCTTTAAATGAGGTGGTATTCTCCTGCTTTCAGTCCAAGGAAGTTACATATCTGGTCCGTTGTCATCCATTGTTAGGCCTGAAACTAGTGTGGCAGTAACGGCAATCTGCACAACTTGGGGGGCATTTGGGCAGCAATGTACCATATCTGTAAGAAGGCATTTTGGAAGCTATTGCCCCAAGTATCCAGTAAGTGGATCTCATCTATTCCTAATGCAGTTAGTTGTGGCCACAATCCTTTGTCATGCAGGAGCTCCTCAAAAAACTGTGACGACAGCTGTTTGAGTGACAGAAGGATTATTGAGGCTTGGTGGTGAGTCATATGCCATAAATTTTCTTGCCTTTTTGTTCAAGCTTCATGAAGGGTGTGGCTTAGTCTCTGTTGCTGACCTTATACAATACATGTGACTGTCAATATATGATACTAGTAGTCGGTATATGAAGACAACAATATTGGTAATAAGGTCTGCTCCGAATCTAAGGCCCTTTGTGGGAACCCCCCACTCAATGTCTTTCAGCCACACAGTAGAGAGCTATTACAGCTCCGCAACAGCTTAGAAGCAGTTCCAACCAACCCCGCTTAGACATTACCCCACAATGAAATCAATCACTTCCCAAAGTCCTGTGCAAAGCCTCGTGTACAGATAATCAGTAGCTTAATAGTATTGATCAATTGATGTACAGTAGTTACAAAAATCAAAGCCGTTTCCCATTAATCATGTCCCAAACACCCCAGCAAACACCTCGCTGAACAGCACAAACATCAAGCCAAAAGCTTGAGGATGTGTTGGCAAGTATCTATGATGCTCGGTGATCTCTGGCCAACTTTTTGCATCATCTGTTTAAAACAAAGAATGAGAAAGGAGAGAAACTTGAAGGATCCAAGAGATACTCACACATGGTAGTGTCTCTGATCAATGGGTCATGCACAGGCTCACCCACATTGGTGGTGGTTCTTGAGCTGATATACCAACAAGCAAAGAGAATCTCCCTTTGGATGGATGACCCCCTGGTAAATCAAATCTACATACCAGGGAGTGTTAGCTTCAATCAAATTCAGCATGCAAGCCTTGCACTCACTGCCTGGGCCCTTGAACTTGTTGTTCACCAGATCCATGCTGAGTCAAACAGGATGATCTCTACAGAGGCAGGTCTACAAGTGTGGGCAGGCACTACCCATGAGGGACGTTGGACACAAGGTACCCAGGTCACATGGGATATTGTAAACAACTTCAGTTTTGCCAAGCTTGAAACCACCATACGGAAGCATGCACCTGTATTTTGGCACTTGATTTGCTCCTACTGCAACTCCGAACTTGTTTATGGAGACAACTATGTCCTGCGTACAAACCGGCCTCAAAATCTGGTAGGTGGACTTGTCATATGGCTGGTCCATTTTTAATCAGTTCTACAGGGTGCCATTGATAGTATAATATCACTTACCTTTATACGTTCAAAAAGCGCCAGCTATGGTGCATTGTGTCGGACCTTGTACCTATTTGCAGCTAAAGCCAATTGCTCAATCATTTGGGTTGAGAGCCAACTAAGAAGTGTATGATTATGGACTATTGTTACTTAAATGAGTACACGGTTAAAAATGCATATCCACTGCCTTTAATCAGTTAGCTAGTAGACAAGTTAGCTGGAGCCAAGATCTTAACAAAGATGGATCTCAGATGGGGATACAATAATGTACGCATCAAAGAAGAAGATGCTTGGAAGGCCGTGTTCACGTGCCACCGAGGATCCTTCGAGCCCCTCGTTATGTTCTTTGGGTTGACCAATTCACCGGCAACCTTCCAGAGCATAATGAACAAAATCTTTGCGGATATGGAAAACTGTGTTGTCATTTACATTGACAATTTGTTAATATTTACGAAGTCGGACAATGAGGCTGAGCATGACAGGATTGTGTAAGAAGTCCTTCAACGCTTACAGGAACGGGACCTATTTGTCAAACCCAAAAAATGTAATTTTAAAGTGAAGGAAGTAGACTTCCTTGGTATAATAATAGGCCAGAACAGAATCAGGATGGATCCTGAGAAAGTTCAAGCTATATTGGATTGGCCAGAACCTACTCGTGTCAGAGGAGTTAGGGCCTTCCTTGGCTTAGGCAACTTCTACCGAAGGTTTATCAAAAACTTCGCAAAAATCACAAGACAGTTGAACAATCTCACTAAAAAGGATATTGTTTGGCACTGGGGCGCCAAAGAACAAGAAGCTTTTGATAAGCTTAAACAGGTGTTTACAATGGCGCCCATATTAGCATTTCCAGAATTAGACAAAGAGTTCCGGCTAGAAACCAACTCTTCTGATTTTGCTACTGGGGCTGTTCTATCAATTAAATGCCCAGATAATCTGTGGAGGCCTTGTGTCTATTTATTGCATAGTTTGTCACCTACAGAGTGCAACTATCAAATTTACAATAAATAGATGCTCATGAGAGCTTTAGAGCACTGGCTGCACTACTTAGAAGGTGCTAGGCACCAATTTGGAATTTGGACCAATCATAAGAATCTGGAGTATTTTATGACAGCCCAAGACTTGAAC